AATATAGATCTTTGTTGTCAGCTATGTAACAGAGGGAAATATAGACTTTTGTTGTCAGCTATGTAATAGAGGGAAATATAGATCTTTGTAGTAAGCTATGTTACAGATGGAAATATAGATCTTTGTTGTCAGCTATGTAACAGAGGGAAATATTGATCTTTGTAGTCAGCTATGTAACAGAGGGAAATATAGATCTTTGTAGTCAGCTATGTAACATGTTCAGATGTGTAAGGGTTGGGGTCACCTCCCATATCAAGACTTTGTATGCTACCATCTATTCAACACAGGTTTACTGATGACTGGTATTTTAAATTGTTAGAACTTGTTTCATGATTGTGGTACATGTATAATAGAGCTTATTCAATTTAAAACCTGTAATGCAGCCGGTAATACAACTTATACAAACTAATGTTGAACGTATATCTATAAATGGATAAGTATGTTGTCGTTCTCTTTTCAGATACCTTAAAGGGACAATTTAATGAAGTTTTTTATAATCTTGACACAAAATTCTTCATGATAATATAGTTTGATACCCCTTATGAACAATTCATGTTGAGAAATTGACAAGAGGCAATGTTTTTTTGGCGTTTTTGATCTGTTATGAAGAAATCCTTAACTGCACAACCATAAGTTTTAGCGGCAGCTGTCAATGAATTTCTAGTTCACAAAAATGTCTTTCCAGCCTAGGAGAGAATGAAATTCTCGCTTTATTCACCTAGCCTCTTTGGAATACAAGTACAGACGTTTATTCTGAATCAAAAGCATCTTCCAAACAACATCTCAATCATCGTTATAAATGAGTAATCTATTTTACGCTTAAACCTATTGATATCGTACTTTCAGTGGTGTGAAATTCTCCCTGCACCCTCTCAGTGTGTGCATGCTCTCATTAATCTGGGTGTTTTTTTTATTCAAATCCAACTGTGAACAGAAATACCTGATTATAGGTAACGTCATTGCAGGCAAATTAGCAATGCACCCAAATTATGACGTCATAATACATAAAATGTGACGTAAATAACGTCACCATAGTCTTCAACACAGTTAAAGCCTTCAAATGTTTTGACAAGAAGAGGTATAAGAAGGGAAAATTTATACTTTTAATCAAAACAATTATGAAACATCTTGTAACACAACGAATCTAAAAAATATGGTCTGTGCGACGGACATCTCGTCAACTAAACTCATCAATCTGAGGCCAGTTGGTTGTTATTTAGTGTAAAATCAGTACATACACATTGAAAATACCCATATCTTAATGCTGATTGCAGTTAATGATCGACTGAGCCATCAATGCAAGTAAATTGTTTTTCTACAAGTGTACTTTGGTACATGTACAATATACTGACGATCCAATGCGTGTTTATGGAAATGACGATCTGAAAGATCCGCGATTTGATGAATTATCGTCATGCAATGTGTATTCAGAATACAATCAACCAGTATCTTTTTAAAAGTATTGTTTGCGTCTTACATTCAACCATATTACAACACTTAAATTAAAATACCATCTTGAAATTTTCTAGATTTATATCTAAAAGCAATTGGTTCTGTTGAAAGTTATTTGTTGTTGGCCTGAAAGTACTACTGTACATTCGCATGTTGATTGTACGTAGAGACGGACAATAACCAAAAACTGATTTTTACATGAAAAAGTAAGTACATTTACAACACATGGACGGACAGTCTTTGTTGAATAAGTTTTCAAGCCCAAGAAAATCGTTTATATTTGTCAGATGTTTCCCGTTGACTTGCAAGACGATCGGAGACGTACATGTGACAAATTATCCAAAATTCATAAGGGGAGGGGGTGTCGTTGAAAGCTCTGGACTGGACCCTCTCAACCGGACCCGATGCAAAATATAATATTTGGCAGTGTTTTTGGAAGTCATCTCAGCCGATACCAGCCATCTTTCTGAAATTACATTAATCTTTTTCTTCAAGTTACCGAAAATGAACTATCACAACTAAGAAAAACCACTTATTTCAATGTTAATCATTGTTTCACAGACACATTTGGAGCTGTTCGTATCAGTACAGCTTGTGTAACATAAACATACAAAATTTTACATTTAAACACTTAGATTACTTGTAAATTAGTTAAATCTTTGAAGGTGGCGAAACTGCCTGCACCTTTGAGCAAAACCACGGAAGGCTTGATGACGTCGCAAATGGTGCTGTGTGACGTCATTCAGGCGTGTTTACAGCAATATTTGTTTATAGGTATTTCAGTCAAATCCTCTTCTGTACTGGTGCTCGTCGGCATTTTGATACATACATTTTTGGACGAATTATTAACCGAAACCCTTACTTATGTGACGAATTATTAACAGAAACCCTTACTTATGCGACGAATTATTAACCGAAAACCCTTACTTATGTGACGAATTATTAACCGAAAACCCTTACTTATGTGACGAAATATTAACCGAAACCCTTACTTATGTGACGAATTATTAACCGAAACCCTTACTTATGTGACGAATTATTAACCGAAACCCTTACTTATGTGACGAATTATTAACCGAAACCCTTACTTATGTGACAAATTATTAACCGAAACCCTTACTTATGTGACGAATTCTTAACCGAAACCCTTACTTATGTGACGAATTATTAACCGAAACCCTTACTTATGTGATGAATTATTAACCGAAACCCTTACTTATGTGACAAATTTGCCTGCACTAACGTTATATATCATGATACTTAAATTCTAGCTTGCGATGTATTGTGTAAATTCAAAGCAAGACAAAAATGCATTATGTGTGAACTTATAGACCCATGTTGTGTGTACAGGTTTACTTCTCGCGGAAAGGCCTGGATATCGCGCTATTTCAGTCATATCTATTCTTATCACCGGCTTTTCCAATAGATGAAACTGACCACACTGAACATTGACTTCAGGTCATGTAACTATTACTTACGTAAACATTCGTTCGGATATATATATTTTCAATATCAACTCGATTTTCAGGTCGTCATTTGACTAAATAGCCCCTTTAAAATGTTTTAGATAAACCCTGACCTTCCTATACCTAGAATTTGTACATTAGCTCCTGTAATGAAATGTTGGTCAGTATCCCATTACTTTACACCAGTAGGGTCATTACCCAGTGTATAATAGTGACTCACAGATCCTCACCTGTTTTTGGGGTTGTACAAATACTGCATTTGTATTTTAAGTCTATAGGTGATGTTCATCTTATCTAGTTTTAGCAGCACATTCCACTACATTGAGATTTTTTTTTTGTAGTGATGATGACTTGGAACCATATGACATGTCAAACGATGTTAAGGTCACCAAGGTCAAACGTCCCAAATACCTGAGAGATTGTATGGAAGGTAAGAAGACATTACAACTCCAATGTCGATATATCTTGATGTTAATCTAAATAATGTGATGCTGAAAAATTAATCTACACCATCTACCATAGTACTGAAGGATTTATCTACAACATCTACCATGGTACAGAAGGATTAATCTACAACATCTACCATGGGACTGAAGGATTTATCTACAACATCTACCATAGGACTGAAGGATTAATCTACAACATCTACCATGGGACTGAAGGATTTATCTACAACATCTACGATTGTACTGAAGGATTTATCTAAATTATCTACCATGGTACTGAAGGATTTATCTACGACATCTACGATGGTACTGAAGGATTAATCTACAACATCTACCATGGTACTGAAGGATTTATCTACAACATCTACCATGGGACTGAAGGATTAATCTACAACATCTACCATAGTACTGAAGGATTTATCTACAACATCTACCATGGTACTGAAGGATTAATCTACAACATCTACCATGGGACTGAAGGATTTATCTACAACATCTACGATGGTACTGAAGGATTTATCTAAATTATCTACCATGGTACTGAAGGATTTATCTACGACATCTACGATGGTACTGAAGGATTAATCTACAACATCCACCATGGTACTGAAGGATTTATCTACAACATCTACCATGGTACTGAAGAATTTATCTACAACATCTACCATGGTACTGAAGGATTAATCTACAACATTCACTGTTGTACTTCTAGATTAAAAAATACAATTTCCTAAGGTAGATTAAAATGTACAACTTCTACAGGTGTACTCTACAATTTCCACAGTTCTGCTGAGATCCTCTTTGTACTAGGCAAGAGTTTATTGCCATATTCAGTAATGATGTTCAATGTACAGAATCATTTATACCACCCTGGTGACCGAAACATAAAACACCTTAGAAATCATTTATACCACCCTGGTGACCCGAAACATAAAACACCTTAAAAATCATTTATACCACCCTGGTGACCCGAAACATAAAACACCTTAGAAATCATTTATACCACCCTGGTGACCCGAAACATAAAATACATTAGAAATCAGTTATACCACCCTGGTGACCCGAAACATAAAATACGTTAGAAATCATTTATATCACCCTGGTGACCTGAAACATAAAATACATTAGAAATCATTTAACATATCAAAATTGTACTTCCAAAACTTGCTAGATTTTGTACCGGGGTATAAATACATGTGTACTTGAGAGTATTGCTTAATCTATTGACTATTGATGTGGGGTTTGATTGTGTTCTAAGGTTTGATTTGTGCTGACGACACCGAGAGGGTGGATACTTGCCTGGAGGCAGCAGAGGGACTTATTAGGGCCTTACCTGATGGTCTTACAGAGGTAGGTACTGAAATTTTTACCTGATGGTCTTACAGAGGTAGGTACTGAAAGTTTTACCTGATGGTCTTGCAGAGGTAGGTAATGAAAATCTTACCTGATGGTCTTACATAGGTAGGTAATGAAAGTTGTATCTGATGGTCTTACATACTTAGGTAAATACATATTCCTAGGAGGAAAGTCTCCAGAGGAAGATACAGTTCCCTACAACCCTACCTGATAGTCTTACAAAAGTATGTAATTACGACTCTACCTAACAGGCTAACAAAAGTATGTAATTACGACTCTACCTAACAGGCTAACAAAAGTATGTAATTACGACTCTACCTAACAGGCTAACAAAAGTATGTAATTACGACTCTACCTGACAGTCTCAAAGAAGAATGTAATTACGACTCTACCTGACAGTCTCACAGAAGTAGGTAATTAGGACTACCTGACAGTCTCACAGAAATATGTAATTACGACTCTACCTGGCAGTCTCACAGAAGTATGTAATTACGAATCTTCCTGACAGTCTCACAGAAGTATGTAATAACGCCCCTACCTGACAGTCTCAAAGAAGAATGTAATTACGACTCTACCTGACAGTCTCACAGAAGTATGTAATTACGACTCTACCTGACAGTCTCACAGAAGTATGTTATTACGAACCTCCTGACAGTCTCACAGAAGTATGTAATTACGACTCTACCTGACAGTCTTACAAAAGTATGTAATTGCGACTCTACCTGACAGTCTTACAGAAGTATGTAATTACGACTCTACCTGACAGTCTCACAGAAGTAGGTAATTAGGACTACCTGACAGTCTCACAGAATTATGTAATTTCGACTCTCCCTGACAGTCTTACAAAAGCATGTAATTGCGACTCTACCTGTCAGTCTCACAGAAGTATATAATTACGACTCTACCTGACAGCCTTACAGAAGTATGTAATTCCGACTCTACCTGACAGTCTCAAAGAAGAATGTAATTAAGACTTTATAGCTACCTGACAGTCTCACAGAAGTATGTAATTACGACTCTACCTGACAGTCTCAAAGAAGAATGTAATTACGACTCTACCTGACAGTCTCACAGAAGTATGTAATTACGATCCTACCTGACAGTCTCACAGAAGTATGCAATTAAGACCCTACTTGAAGTATGCAGGTAGGGCCATATTACTGATTGAAGATTTTGTTGCCTAGTAAGGTTTAATGGGGGGGGGGGGGGGGGGGGGGGNACCAGAGTACCCGGAAAAACCCCATGTGGTCAACCAGGTGTCCCCATACATTTTCAGATCCAATCGGGGAATCAAACCCCAGACGCCTTGGTGAAAGGGAAAGTAAGTTTGTTGGAGCTTTAAGTAAGTCCAGTGAGGTTTCTCTCATTTTCTGCCTTGGGATCACACTACTGTTCTGATTGCTACACTGTGTATGAAGAAGTCATTAATCTTTCCTTACAGGTATGTGAAAAATTTGCGAAGATTCTTTTACATCTATCTGAAAAATCGTCAAACCTACACTTCACCAAACACAGATTCAGCGCCATGGTAGCCTTGACAGTTAATGCCCCTGTTCAGGTAGGTCGTCATTTAACCAGCCACTATTTCTTCTGGGATTTTTTTTTTTTTTAATTCTATTAGTTAACTAAGCTGTTGGTTATGTTTACTGATCAGGGATCTGTTCAGGTGTTACTACACGATGTACTAGTATCTGTTCAGGTGTTACTACGCGATGTACTAGTTAACTAAGCTGTTGGTTACGTTTACTGATCAGGGATCTGTTCAGGTGTTACTACACGATGTACTAGTATCTGTTCAGGTGTTACTACGCGATGTACTAGTTAACTAAGCTGTTGGTTATGTGTACTGATCAGGGATCTGTTCAGGTGTTACTACACGATGTACTAGTATCTGTTCAGGTGTTACTACGCGATGTACTAGTTAACTAAGCTGTTGGTTACGTTTACTGATCAGGGATCTGTTCAGGTGTTACTACACGATGTACTAGTTAACTAAGCTGTTTGTTATGTTTACTGATCAGGGGTCTGTTCAGGGGTTACTACACGATGTACTAGTATCTGTTCAGGTGTTACTACGCGATGTACTAGTTAACTAAGCTGTTGGTTATGTTTACTGATCAGGGATCTGTTCAGGTGTTACTTCACGATGTACTGCGACTTGGTGCTGGTTACAGAAGTGTGTCGGATTCCTCTTTATCCCCCTGAAATTATCATCAGCAAACAAGAACTTTTTGTATACCTCCATTTAGGCAAGAGGGGTATATAATAACCACGATGTCACTGCATTCATTTGTCTGTCCGTAGCCAAAAGCCTTGTATACAACATAGGTCAAGACCCCCATTACAAATTAAGTTTATATTGACACCTTAGTATGGGTATTTCAAGGTCTTTTTGATGATCATTGGTCAAGATTTAAGGGTCAAAGTTTACACTTGACAACTTTTGGAGCAAAAATTGTTGCGTATAAGATATTTCATAGTCCCTCCGTAGATAAAGATCATATTTAAACCAGAGTATGGTAACGATCAAATTCTACACCTGATTAGATTTGGTGGTCATTGGAAAAGATTAAAGGTCAAACTTTATTATTATGGGGGACTGGGAGTTTATAATTATGAGCCATCATTCACATTGTTTTTATTTTTACAGAGCTCGAAGTATTTAACTTATCAGTTTTATGAGAGAAACTATAACCTTCGTCAGAGGATGGACATTTTAGAGGTGAGAGAAACTTTAATCTGTATCAGAGGATGGACATTTTAGAGGTAAGAGAAACTTTTATCTGTTTCTGAGGATGGACATTTTAGAGGTGAGAGAAACTTTAAGAGAAACTTTAATCTGTATCAGAGGATGGACATTTTTTTTCCGCACAAATGTGCAATTTGGTACAATTGGTTGATCAATATTATGGAATAAAAAATCTGAAAGGCTCGGATGGAATAATGTACACTATATATATTAATTTTTCTCATCACAATACCAGGTAACAGAATAGGTAGATAAATAACATTTTGATGAGAGACCAGAGTTTTACCTGGCCTGTGCCCGACACAGAGAGCTGATATGTGATACCGTATGGCTGTTTTGAAAATACAACTGGACGTTAAGTATTTGTTAGTTGCATTTGCTTTGGTCAATAGCTCCCGTTTACCTGGATTTTCACATCTGGGCGAGTTATGAAAGTACCCTGGGTGAGGAAAAATGAGGTCCAGGTACATGAACAAAGTGGCTATGTTTACCTGTATATGAGCTGTGTCCATATATTTGTTTTAGATGTGTCGATTTGGGTCATTTAAAAACAACAATGTGTTTAATCCCGAAACTGTATATATTGTTAAAACATTCCTCAATTTACACCAACCATAATTGTTATCGCACACCGTTTGTCCATCGTGTCCTCAAATGTGTGCAGGCAATAAACGTCCAAAATTTTTCCTCCCACCCTTCACAGGTGTGCCTCTGGTTTAAGCCGAGAAACTTTAGCTTGTCACTCCCTAGGGGGAGATAGCTATAGCCTCCCGATTAGCACGTGTTCAATTGTGACGTCATTAAAATGCATCACCGGTAATTGTGACTTCATCAAATGTGAATGACGATATTCATATCCCACATGTGGTTTTGTTTACACTACTCTTGGTGGTGTTGTGACTGACATAATAGGATGGGAGAAACATAATCATCCCCTACGTACCTGAAAGGTGTGACAGAGAAATCTCCAACCCTCGAGGTGATTTATTTTGGTTGTCTAACCCTCAGCAGAGCCTCGGGTTAGACAACTGAAAAACATCACCCCTCGTGCTGGAGATTTCTCAGGGTAGGGGAAGATTCTATTAATCATTTGCACATTGTGAACACATCGTTCACACAGCGTGCGCATACTGCATATATTGTAACATTGGTACACATCGTTCACACAGCGTGCAATCACAGCGTTTGCACACTGCACATATTGTAACATTGTGTACATATTGTTCACACAGCGTGCGCATGCTGCATATATTGTCACATTGTGTACGCATCGTTCACACAGCGTGTGCACACTGCACATATTGTAACATTGTGTACACATCGTTCACACAGCGTGCACACACTGCACATATTGTAACATTGTGAACACATCGTTCACACAGCATGCGCACACTGCATATATTGTAACATTGTGTACACATCGTTCACACAGCGTGCGCACACTGCAGATATTGTAACATTGTGCGATTTAACAACTGTAACACATAATATAACCCACCTATGAGGATGGACATCTGAGAGGTAAGAGAAACTAAAACTTCAACAGAGGACTTGTTGTGGATACATCATATTGTATTGCATGTTTACATTGTTTTGTATTATGTTGTACTGCAGTTCAGCAGCAATGATAATGATTATCAGGTTGTTGTTCTAACTATATTCTGTATGATAGATGTTGAAATTCAGAATATCATTACATTATTATTCTTGTAATATTTCTCAGTGTATTCCACTTTAATACCTCAGTAAAAGCTGACCTTCTTTGATTTCAGGTACTAGCAGCCAGTGCCCAGGAGTTGTCTCATCCCAGTCAGTCTGTTCCTAAACCCTACTCCAAGGACTCAGCCTTGACTCCTGGCCCCACCCAAGCACCCACCCCTGAGGACTGGCACAGTGTTGTACAGAAGAGGATTGAGAGTAAAACCCGTCGGTTTGTGAAGGGCCCCAGTAGACCTGGACCTGCCCCAAAGATCAATAAGTTTGCTGGAGTAGCAGGGCAGTTCTTCTATCCGCTGATGAAACATTATGACAGGTAATATATCTTATTCCACATTTGGAGATCACTGTTGCCAATTTGTATTGAGCAAAAGATCAATTAATAGTAATGTACACAGTATAATTTGAATGGCAGTTTAATTTTGTGATTATCATAGGACAAGAAATCTGTGAATTAAACATCAATGAGAAAACCTAAAAACCCCACATAATTAACAACATAATCAAGAAATTGAAACCTATATGCGGTAACTGTTTTGCTATTCTGTTTAACAATTTACAGGAGAGAGAACACCTTTGATTTAATAGGAGAGGACAGTCTTATCCTTGGAAGATTGATATACACACTTGGTGTCATCATGTACTGTGCTGTCAACACTATGGTAGGTGATCATATACACACTGGGTGTCATCATGTACTGTAATGTCAACACTATGGTAGGTGGTACACACACTGGGTGTCATCATGTACTGTACTGTCAACACTATGGTAGGTGATCATACACACACTGGGTGTCATCATGTACTGTATTGTCAACACTATGGTAGGTGGTATACACACTGGGTGTCATCATGTACTGTACTGTCAACACCATGGTAGGTGGTATACACATTGAGTGTCATCATGTACTGTACTGTCAACACTATGGTAGCTGGTATACACACTGAGTGTCATCATGTACTGTACTGTCAACACTATGGTAGGTGATCATACACACACTGGGTGTCATCATGTACTGTATTGTCAACACTATGGTAGGTGGTATACACACTGGGAGTCATCATGTACTGTACTGTCAACACTATGGTAGGCGGTACACACACTGGGTGTCATCATGTACTGTACGGTCAACACTATGTTAGGTGATCATATACACACTGGGAGTCATCATGTACTGTACTGTCAACACTATGGTAGATGGTATACACACTGAGTGCCATCATGTACTGTACTGTCAACACTATGGTAGGTGGTTCACACACTTGGTGTCATCATGTACTGTACTGTCAACACTATGGTAGGGGATCATATACACACTTGGTGTCATCATGTAGTGTACTGTCAACACTATGGTAGGTGATCATATACACACTGAGTGTCATCAAGCACTGTACTGTCAACACTATGGTAGGTGGTACACACACTTGGTGTCCTCATGTACTGTACTGTCAACACTATGGTAGGTGATCATACACACACTGGGTGTCATCATGTACAGTATTGTCAACACTATGGTAGGTGGTATACACACTGGGGGTCATCATGTACTGTACTGTCAACACCATGGTAGGGGGTATACACATTGAGTGTCATCATGTACTGTACTGTCAACACTATGGTAGATGGTATACACACTGAGTGCCATCATGTACTGTACTGTCAACACTATGGTAGGTGGTCATATACACTGGGTGTCATCATGTACTGTACTGTCAACCCTATGGTAGGTGGTACACACACTTGGTGTCATCATGTACTGCACTGTCAACACTATGGTAGGTGATCATATACACACTGAGTGTCATCAAGCACTGTACTGTCAACACTATGGTAGGTGGTACACACACTTGGTGTCACCATTTACTGTACTTTCAACACTATGGTAGGTGGTATACACACTGAGTGTCATCATGTACTGTACTGTCAACACTATGGTAGATGGTATACACACTGAGTGTCATCATGTACTGTACTGTCAACACTATGGTAGGTGATCATATACACACTGGGTGTCATCATGTAGTGTACTGTCAACACTATGGTAGGTGGTATACATATTTGTTAACATTATGTTCAGTGCTTTAAGTTGAAGATTATTTTAGTTACTTGTATGTTATATTTTATACCAGTTTTTAGATGACAGTGCATAGGGAGCTTGCCTTTCACCAAGATGGCTGTGGTTCGATTCCTCCTCGGGACATGAAAATGTAATAGGTCATCTGCACTACCATGTCGATTCTCCCCTGGTACTCTGGCTGCATCTCACATTAAGATCCTCTGTGTACTTCCATCTAGGCCTACAAGAGTGGTTGATAAGTTAATCTTTTTTTCTGAGTATGTCCCTATAACAAGGTTCATTGGGGAGGTATTCTGGTATCAGGGGGTCAGTCTTTCTGTCTGTTTCTAGCCACAACTTCATCCAGATGTCTAAAGTTCTACATTAATTCAAACAAAACTTTGGAGATATCTTGCCAGTCACCTAAAATTGTGATTTACCATGTGTTTAAAGCTGCCTTGTTTTTCTGTTGATGTAAAGAGTGATGTAGCCCTTGATATACTCCTAAATGTCACGATGGATCATTGACTGTATTAAAAAGGACTGAACATTTGCTGTTTGATAGGAAGCTAAGAGGATGGGAGCTACACTTCTGGAGTATGTCTTGGTCCTTCGATTTCATACCGACAGGTCAGTAAGATTTCCTGGTAGTCACTTTGATAATTTTGTCAGTCACATTTCCAATTTATTCAGCTATCACAATTAAATGTATTAATCTAGATCTGAGCTTTGTGGTTATCTTATAAATTTCAAGATCTAATTTTATTGTTTTTATGTCACTTAGGTGGCTTTTTATCATTGCCTTTTATCTATTATCATGTGTCATGTGCGGGAGCTGACAATGCAGGTTTACAATTTCAGAATTGTCTGTCATGCTATTTTGTTTGCGGTTTCCATGGTGATCCTTTCTGTCCCTGCCCATGTTCTGCTGTCTGACCTTCAGGGTGAGGTCATGGAAATGAAGAGTTGGCTGGAGGGTAAGTTTGACCTTTGACTTCAAGTATCACCAATATAACTTATAATTCTATTAAAAAAATACAATTACACAGTGTACTTGAGTATTATGTTATACAATTTGCATTCTATGATTTATATGGAAATGATACGATAACATGGCATATTAAATGTCAAAGAATACAATTGCATTGCATGTTATTATAAAAAATATTTTTTATTATCCACTTTTATCAAATAACGTACTGTATTATCTAGTGAATATACCCATGACATATTTTTTTGTGTATTAACCCATGTAATATGAATGTAATATGACCTATCAGCCCTATGATTAGTTGTAAGTTCCAATTGTTTCAATCGCCGGAGGCTCGCTAAATTGAAAAATTCTTAGACTCGTAGCATAAATCTCATATTAAATGGAAACTCATGTATGATCCTATATGTACATGTACAGTAGATAATGTCACTAGACCTGTACTTGGTGATTTACAGATGTTGCTGAAAAAGGCATTGATAAAGAGTCCAGGAAGTTAGCAGTTCAGTGTCTGATGCTGATGGAAAATGTCATCAGAAAGGTTGGAATTCACTGAGTTTTTTCTGACAGTAGTTACAAGTTCTTCCTCTTAGGGTGATTTAAATGCTTAGATGTGTAACAAGAATATTTTGGTATACACTTGTAATTTGTAATCCAATATTTCCATATAGACTTCTGATTGGTGGACATGTTTCGAGCTAAAAGTGAAATTTGTTCTTAGTTCCAACATCATAGATAGAACTCTCATGACCCTAAATTAAACAAAAGTTTTTGAGGCAAAGAAGCAATCTGAAATGACAATGAGAACTTATGGTTGGCACATATGTCAATACCAGTTACTGCAATTCTTAAGGATCAAATTCGTTCCAATGCTACATATATGTATGGTTCTGTAATTAATACTGATAGTATTTTAAACCATAACATTTTATCCTGTATTAGTTTAACTTTATTCCTGTAACATATAGTATTTCTTACTGTTACATTGAAGCTAATGATTTTCTGAATTAACTGTTCACAGAGTGTTGTTTTTTTCCAGGAATTTCAAGGGAGCATGGAAAATACCTGACCAAATAAAAAATGTGAAGTGTGGAGATTATGATTAGTGTACACATTACTAGTGTTCACATAACTAGTGTACACATAACTAGTGTACACATAACTAGTGTTCACATAACTAGTGTTCACATAACTAGTGTACACATAACTAGTGTACACATAACTAGTGTACACATATCAAGTGTACATATAACTAGTGTTCACATTACTAGTGTACACATAACTAGTGTTCACATAACTAGTGTACACATAACTAGTGTACATACAAGTAGTGTACACATAACTAGTGTACACATAACTAGTGTACATACAAGTAGTGTACACATAACTAGTGTCCACATAACTAGTGTACACATAACTAGTGTACATATAACTATAGTCCTATCTATTCTTTATGCACAAGATGAACATACATAACATGCCTCAAACAACCAATACAATCACTAAAAACATATTTTTTTCAAACTTACTCTGTTTTACTCTAGTTTTTTATAGCCCTGCCTTCCAATGCCACGTGACTGAAATCTCGCCGGCCTACGTCATAACGTTGGGAAAAACCTTCGGTAACGCAAGAACTCATCAAGTCATGTGACATTGCTCATGGCCTAATTTCTATTAAAAACATGGGTTGGTATAGAAAACGTTGGAAAATACTTTTCGTAATCATGTTATTGATACCACCTAGTGCATAAAGAATAGATCTTTCGATCCATGTGCGACATGTGTGTGAAAGTGACAATTTGTTTTTAAAATATCAGTTTGAAGTGTGCTCCATTACTACTGTACACATAACTAGTGTATATAACTAGAGTACACATTACTAGTGTATATAACTAAAGTACACATTACTAGTGTATATAACTAGAGTACCCATTACTAGTGTATATAACTAGAGTACACATTACTAATGTATATAACTAGAGTACACATTACTAGTGTATATAGCTAGAGTACACATTACTAGTGTATATAACTAGAGTACCCATTACTAGTGTATATAACTAGAGTACACATTACTAGTGTATATAGCTAGAGTACACATTACTAGTGTATATAACTAGAGTACCCATTACTAGTGTATATAACTAGAGTACACATTACTAATGTATATAACTAGAGTACACATTACTAGTGTATATAACTAAAGTACACATTACTAGTGTATATAACTAGAGTACACATAACTAGTGTACATATAACTAGTGTACACATAACTAGTGTACACATAACTAGTGTTCACATAACTAGTGTTCACATAACTAGTGTACACATAACTAGTGTACACATAACAAGTGTACACATAGCTAGTGTACACATAACAAGTGTATACAACTAGAGTACACATTACTGGTGTATATAACTAGGGTACACATTACTAGTGTACATATAAGTAGTGTACACATAACTAGTGTATATAACTAGTGTACACATAACAAGTGTACACATAGCTAGTGTACACATAACAAGTGTATACAACTAGAGTACACATTACTGGTGTATATAACTAGGGTACACATTACTAGTGTACATATAAGTAGTGTACACATAACTAGTGTATATAACTAGTGTACACATAACTAGTGTACACATAACAAGTGTACACATAGCTAGTGTACACATAACAAGTGTATACAACTAGAGTACACATTACTGGTGTATATAACTAGGGTACACATTACTAGTGTACATATAAGTAGTGTACACATAACTAGTGTATATAACTAGTGTACACATAACAAGTGTACACATAACTAGTGTATATATAAGTAGTGTACATATAAGTAGTGTCCCCATAACTAGTGTACATCCCTAGAGTATTCATTACTAGTGTACATATAACTAGTGTACACATAACAAGTGTATACAACTAGAGTACACATTACTGGTGTATATAACTAGGGTACACATTACTAGTGTCCACTTAATTATTCCACATAACTAGTGTACCTATCTTGTGTACAGTGTACACATAACTAGTATTCACATAACTAGTGTATATAACAAGGGTACACATTACTAGTGTCCACTTAATTATTATTCACATAACTAGTCTACACATAACTACATGTAGACATCAGTTACCATAACAGTCTGTGTTCTACTACACATTACTAGTTTATATAACTAGTGTACACATAACTAGTGTTCACATAACTAGTCTACACATAACTACATGTAGACATCAGTTACCATAACAGTCTGTGCTCTACAGGTAGACAGCAGTCACAGTGACAGTGTGTGTTCTACAGGTAGGCAGTAGTCACAGTGACAGTATGTGTTCTACAGGGAGACATAGTCACAGGGACAGTCTGTTCTATAGGTAGACAGTAGTCATCGTGACAGTCTGTGTTCTACAGATAGACAGTAGTCATCATGATAGTCTGTGTTCTACAGATAGACAGTAGTCATCATGACAGTCTGTGTTCTACAGGTAGACAGTAGTCACAGTGACAGTCTGTTCTATAGGTAGACAGTAGTCACTGTGACAGTCTGTGTTCTACAGGAAGACAGTTGTCAACAGCTTTTTTTCAAGCCATATTATCTATGTTATGAAATGTTCGATTAGTCTCAAGTAATGTTCACACAGAATATGACATGTCTTCACGCTGTCATGGGATGGATGATCTGTATCTGCTTGGAATGACATTATGTATGTGAACAAGTATTACAAATACTTTATATGTACTTTGTGATACAGTTGTGTATTTATTTAAAAGTGCATTGCTAATTTCTTTACGTTTTATTGTATGGCAGAGGTTACATTTAATAGAATGAGCCAGGAGAGAAGATTTATGATCCTTGCTAAGTGATAGGTTCCTGACGTTAGTAGAGGATGGTCATGTTATTATTCCAAGTACAAGTGTACCATTGTTATTGCTATTAAATTTAAGTTGTAACCATTGATTTATTGTTTGTTTTAGACTTCTTGTTTTGTCTTTAATTGACGTTTTGTGCATCCAAGTCATATAAGTATGTGGACGAAATATCATTAATACAATGTAATGATTTGGAAAGTACACATTTTTCAAATGCTTTGGGGAATATGGAACTTATTATATATAATAACAAATACACCAGGAAAATGAATAACTGGTTATATAATCCAAATGTTATTAGCTTCACTCATTTCTGACCTCATTATACTGACAGGGCAAACTTCAAATTTCATAGCTCAACATTGGTCATACAATTTTAACTCCTAAAGTTTGAAAAATTAATCTTTTGCTCACCTGGACCCAAGGGCCTTTATAATAAGTGAGCTTATGCCTAGTGTGGCGTCTGTCATCTGTCCAGTGTCAACTTTTTAATTAAAACAACTTCTTCTGAATAATCATGCTGGTATGAAGGGCTACACATTTTGTTCAAATGAATGACCTTTACCGATATTCAAGGTCACAGGGTTCAATTGTCTTAAAAACCTATAAACAACTTCTTTAAAAAAAATCGAAAGAACCAGGGTCATGATATTTGGCCAGAAGCATGAAGGGCTACCATGTTTGTTCAATTGAATGACCTGGCTCATATTCAAGGTCACAGGGGTCAAATATATTAAAGATATCAAAAACTTCAAATGATTTCTTCTGAATAACCAAAGTGGCTTTGGTGATGATGTTTAACCAGTAGCATGCTGGGATGAGGGGTTACCAAGGTTGTTCAAATGAATGATGTTCACCCATGTTCAAGGTCACAGAGGTCAAACAACTTTTAAACTACTTCTTCTGAACAACTAAAACGTCCCAAGATGATGATATTTAGCAACATGCTTGGATGATAAGTTGAAATCTTTAAACAAACTTTCTTGAATAACCAAAAGGTCTATAGGATGATGATATTTGGTCAGTAACATGCTCAGTTAAAGATCTATCGAGTTAATTAAAATGAATGACATTCACCCATATTCAAAAAGTTTTTTTGAATATGTTAAATGACAAAAATAGGTTAAAAACATTAAACAACTTAGCATGCTCAAATTAAGAGCTATCAAAGTGTTTTCATGGGAATGGTATGACCCAATTTCAAGGTTACATATGATCAAAGGTTCATATAAACATGTAAATGACCTCATTTCAATAAAAAAAAAAAATGACAGTTGACTAAGGTGGTGTTATTGTGCAAGTTGTACCTGCCTGGATGAAGGGCTATAAAGTTTGTACAACTTAATGACCTTGTTAGACTTTCAAAGTCACAGTCAGGGATCAAATGTGTTCAAATCTTATCACAGTTTCTTTTTAATGCTGTAGTTTAGTCATAGATACTTATATTTTGCCTGTAGCTTTATTTTGGTAAACTTTCATGGTTACAAGTACAATAAATAAATACAAGGTGAGTGATGCAGGCCCATTGTACATTTTTTTTACCTTGTTGAGTTTTGACCTAATTGTGTCTTCCCTTACGATGTATGGAGATACAAGCTTTTATTATAACGTTTTCTGTTAAGTTTTCCAATTAAAATACAATTTTGAAGAATCTTGAGATTCTGTTTCGAACGCACCTGTCACTTTTCGAACGCACCCCGGAGCTCTTCTTTGTGAAGAGGTAAGAAAATTGGTTACAGCGGGAGATGCAATTTGTTAAAGTTCTAGTTACCAATATTCTTAGATTGCTTCATAGGCAACATCAGCATTTTCTGGTGTGACACATGAGTTGTGCTATAGATTCGTCGCTGAAATATAGATAATCTGGACATACTTGGCGGAGACTTTGTTTCAGGAACCAAACTACGGTACTACACCTACAGTCATGATCAAGACGATCGAACGTGCGGAGCTGAATTAGAACCCCACAAGTACTTAGCAAACCATGACAGTTGTGTTTGGTGAAGAGCATTTGTTGATGTAAAAGTGTCCCACACGTTTCCTTAAAAAACCCTCATACATCCTATTCTTAATTACCAAAATAACGGGAAACTAAAACGACTTTATTTTAGACTAAAAGGATATATTTCAATCAATGGAATTTCCAGAAGATGGAGTGTTCCTGCATCAGTTGCAGTCCCATTTGTTTGATCCTAAACTCAGTGAAGGACGGGTGTCTGAGAAAGCTGACCTTACACGGAATATCATAGCAAACCTGAAGCTGGCAGCTGATGCTAACATGTAAGGCTTACCAACATCTATTACATTGTATAGTGAAACCTGTCTAAACTGAACAAAACACCCAATATTTATACTGTAGTTGAATAAATAAAGGTCACAGAGATCTTGTCAAATTAGCAGTGTATGCTGCACACGGTTCTCCCAAGATTCCACTCTTGTTCTATAGTTCTACCATATAGTGACAAGCTGCGATAATGTAGCTTTCTGAAGACGAGACATTTTTGATATATTGCTTCGTCAGAGGAGGCCGGGTATTAATATTAGTACTATATAGTGACCAACTTCAACTTATTATAGATTTTGTCACGAAATTGGGTTTATGCCGCACAAATGACAGACTATATATATTACATAATAATTAATAATTATCTTCTAAGAGTTTAGAGAAGGAACATTTAATTCAAGGAGAATCCAGCAAGCCAGTGATTGGGCTGCAACCCCCACCTACAAATTAAAGCTTGTTGGGGAAAGGGGAAAAAGAAGAGAAGTATGGTACGAGGAAAAAGGGATTGTTGTCTAGTTAGTGTTTTCAAGTATTGCTGTTAGAATTGGACCTGGTGGAAATTTATAGGAATTTATATGGCTCGGTGCAACCTGTCTGGGTCGTGGATATATGGCCACTGTGCCCAGATGAATTTTATAGAACATCTTTAGGCGTGCATCTTTCCTCTGATCTGACGGTCTGACAGGCTGTGCCAGCCAAGAGTACCATGCAATCATATCTGTTACACTAGAGGTGTTCCGAAAGCGATTTGACACATTGGGCTCCTCTCCTCTGGACCATTTCAAATTTGTTTCTGTTATTTTTTGTGTACTGATCCCAAACAAAGCAAGCATATTCTAAAGAAGGGTCTTACCAAGGATTTGTAAGCCTGTTCTAAATATTGTTGAGCTAATTTTTAGGTTTCTTCTGAGAAATGCTAGAGTAGAATTTGCCTTGTTGCAAATCTGATCTACATGAGAGTCCCATTTCAAATCTGATCTACATGAGAGTCCCATTTCAAATCTGATCTACATGAGAGTCCCATTTCAAATCTGATCTACATGAGAGTCCCATTTCAAATCTGATCTACATGAGAGTCCCATTTCAAATCTGATCTGAGGGTTACTCCTAGGTATTTCACAGAATCAACATGTTTTAATTATAATATTTGGACATGAAGAGAATAATAAATAACAGGAAAACACACCAGATGGTATTAGTCTTAGAAATATGCTCCTTATTAGAAAATTGAAGCTTAAGATGATCTTCAATAATAGCGTGGCACTTCATTTACTTGCATTTTGACAATTTTAACCATTATGATAAATACAGATATGGTCATGTACCTAGGTTTATATTTAGGATAATCACGTTTAGTTTCATCAAATTTTCCTTTAAAATCCAACTGGCAGAACTGTGGAAATAAAATTCGGTATTGAATAAAAGATCATACAGTGTCAAGGCAATGGCATATGCATTTAAAAGAAAATTTAAAATGATGTGTCCGATGGTAGACATGTACATTATTTAATTCCCTGATTGTATTTAGAAGTGTTAAGTATTCATAACTCTTGGATTGATTTTCACAGATTATCTACAGATAGTGCAGAACATCTGATAGGACCATTTGAACATTCCTATACTTCCATGATTGACTCCCTGGATACCACAACAGGTATTGACAAATTTGTACACCTAAAAGTTTCAACATACATGTTTCTGAGGTAATGGCCATGAAGCAGGATTTAGGAAAACCAATGCCCATTACAGAACAATTGTTTGAGAATGAGAAAATGCCCAGATGATAGTTTTTTTGTCCAGTTTCATCAGATGATCAAAGGCAAGAAGGTCATCCTCACTGACAATTGCTGTAATGTCAAGTTCAGAGGATTAAATTTAATACCTTTACGGTAAATATTGTGTCACAAAATTTTAAGTTGTATTTTATTTGGGATTTACACCAGGTGTTGCTTTGTGCAAGGTCAATGTCATTGGCAAAGTTTACAAATGTCAAATGCATCATTATCATTTTTAATAATACCGGTACACAATGAAATAATATTGTTAAGATTTATGCCAAGGTGCCAAGGTCAGATCTTAAGGTCAAGGTCGGGTTTAATGTCTTCTTTAGAGCAAAGAATACACTATTACTGTCATCTATATTTCTATTATTCTTTAGCATGTTAACATAACTGGCACTGCTCAGAGGCTTAAACACTGTAAGTGTTTAATAATACTTAATAACAAAACCCTGAACTGAACATAACAAAAACAATACCCTGAACTTAACATAACAAAAACAATACCCTGAACTTAACATAACAAAAACAATACCCTGAACTTAACATAACAAAAACAATACCCTGAACTTAACATAACAAAAACAATACCCTGAACTTAACATAACAAAAACAATACCCTGCACTACAGTTTTACATTGTATATGGTATGGTTCAAATGGAATCAAGTTGTATTGCAACATTATGAATTGGAAGATGCTTTTATACGCCCGTCAAATTTGACGGGAGTATTATGGTATGGGTTTGTCCTGCCGGCGTAAACTTTTGTTTGTCAGGCAATCTCCTCCTACATTTTTCAACCAATCTCTTTGAAACTTGGTATACATTATAATCATGATATGAAGATGTGTCTCCCTTAAAAGAATTTGAATCGACAATTTTTCCAAAAGTTATTGCCCTTTGTCATTTCAGTATTTGATTTTTTGTCCGGAGATCGCCTCCTACATTTTTTGACGGATTTCTTTTAAACTTAGTAGGCTAAATAATCATGATATGTTGTTGTGTTTCCTCGAAAAGAATTTGATTTGACAATTTTTGCAAAAGTTATTGCCCTTGGTTTATTTTAGTATTTGATTTTTGTCCGACAATCTCCTTCGACATTTTTCGACGGATCTCTTTGAAACTTGGTATACATTATAATCATGATATAAAGTTGTGTCTCCCTTAAAAAAATTTTGATTCAATAATTTTTCCGAAAGTTATTGCCCTTTGTTCATTTCAGTATTTAATTTTTTGTCCGGCATTCTATCCTCCTACATTTTTTGACGGATTTCTTTGAAACTTAGTTGGCTAAATAATCATGATATGTTGTTGTTTCCTTGAAAAGAATTTTAATTCAATAATTTTTGCAAAAGTTATTGCCCTTTGTTTATTTCAGTATTTGATTTTTGTCCGGCAATCTTCTCCTACATTTTTCAACTGATCTCTTTGAAACTTGGAATACATTATCATCATGATATGAAATTGTGTCTCCCTTAAAAGAATTTTGATTTAACGATTTTTGCAAAAGTTATTGCCCTTTGTTCATTTCGGTAATTGATGTTTTGTCCGGAGATTTTCTCCTACATTTTTAATAGTATGTCAGCTAACCACTCTTAGAATGATGCAGATCTTATTTCATCGTAAGAAAGCACTCTTAGAATGATGCAGATCTTATTTCATTGTAAGAAAGTATGTAAGACTATATGGCATTCGACGGGCGTATATTGTTCCGCCCCACGGTACTCTTGTTCTCTGCTTGTTTTCCAGGATTGAACAACTTTGCAGAAGGTGCTTTAACCTTATGTTCCTCTCATAAAAATGGTATGTTATAAATTAAGCAAATCAATAATGACAAAATTACAAAACAATTTTTACTGCTCTTATTTGATGAGTTATTAAAAAAGAAGCCCAACGGCAACCAACGTGTTGGACAGATTGGCAGATGACAGCCAATTTCTTTAAATAATCTCTGCATGTAGTATAGGACCAAATTAAAAAAAGAAGCCCAGTACAAATTTAAAGGCATTTCTGTTATTGTGTATTTTCTTACGAAATATCTGAAATTGTTCTTAAATAAAGTGTTATTTTTTAGCTCACCTGGTCTGAAGGACCATGGTGAGCTTATGCCATACCGCAGCATCCGTCGTCCATCCGTCAACTTTTCCTTTAAAATGCTACTAGTCATGAACGACTGAGCTGTTTTGACCAAATTTGGTCAGAAGCATCCTTGGGGGAAGGGGAACAAATTTTGTATAAACGGTGGGTCTGGCCCCCCCAGGGGCCTGAGGGGCGGGGCCCAATAGGGGAAACATAGCAAATTGTTTAGAATCCTTCTTCTTCTGTAGGAATGAAAGGATTTGGTCCATATTTAGTCTGAAGCATCCTTGGGTGAACGGGAACCAATTTTGTATAAACGGTGGGTCTGCCCCCGCTAGGGGCCTGAGGGGCGGGGCCCAATAGGGGAAACATAGCAAATTGTTTAGAATCCTTCTTCTTCTGTAGGAATGAAAGGATTTGGTCCATATTTGGTTTAAAGCATTATTGGGTGAAGGGGAACCAATTTTGTATAAACGGTGGTCTGGCCCCCCAGGTGCCTGAGGGGCGGGACCCAATAGGGGAAATATAACTTTTTTTTTTAAATCCTTCTGCTGTAGGAAGAAAAAGATTTGTTCCATATTTGGTCTGAAGAATCCTTGGGTGAAAGGGTTCCAATTTTGTATAAACCGTGGGTCTGGCCCCCCAGGGGCCCAATAGGGGAAATAGAGGAAAAACCTTTAAAAACCTTCTTCTTCCATAGGGATTAAGGGATTTTATCCTAATTAATTCTGGAGCATCCTAATGGGCCAAGGGGACTTAATTTTGTATAAGCAGTGGGTGTGGTCTCCCAGGGGACAGAAGGGCGGGGCCCAATAGGAGAAATAGAGGTTAAACCATTAATATCCTTCTTCGACCATCGGGATTAAGAGATTTTATCCTAATTTAGTCTGGAGCATCCTAATGGGCCAAGGGGACTCAATTTTGTATAATCAGTGGGTGTGGTCTCCCAGAGGATAGAAGGGCGGGGCCCAATAGGAGAAATAGAGGTAAAACCTTTAAAATCCTTCTTCGACCATCGGGATTAAGGGATTTTATCCTAATTTAGTCTGGAGCATCCATGGGTCAAGGGGACTTGTCTGCGGTCGTGATGTCGTACATTGTCTGCAGTCGTGATGTCGTACATTGTCTGCGGTTGTGATGTCGTACATTTTCTGCGGTTGTGATGTCGTAGAAGTCTGGTGTCGTTAATTGAGGTCCCATGGGGCCACAACAGGCAGATTCTGATGTTCTGAAGTACTCCCACTGTTTGTTTATTTTCCTCATTTAAAAAAGCTAAAAATGAAAGAAACAGAATATGTAATAATTTCCCTATAATTCTTATTTATAAAATTTCACTTGTGGCATAACTTTTAATATGTCTAGTTATTTATTTTCCAGAAAGCAACAAATGGAAAACATCACTTACATTGGAAAAACTTAAAGGGATGAAATGTGTTCAAGATGTGATGAAGAAAAGCCAGGTATTGTAATACATGCATCACTGGTGTTGTGAAAAATGCTCTTTATAAAGCATGAAAGAATGATTAAAAAATTAAATGTGTTATTTTTTGAACATAAAGATATTGCTGATATAGCATTGATTTAAAGCATTAAGAAATACTTTCACCATTGTAATATTTCAGAGACATGCAGATATGTTGGTGCCTCCATCTCACAGGAATGCCATCCTATTCTCCCGGACTGTGAAAAATGTAACAGAATCTAAGTCTGGACTGGACTCTGGTCAGAACAGCAATTTCAGACATCATGGCACAGGTCATTTAGAGACTGCTATCAGTACGGACCATATAGGCGCCAAACACCAAGGACTCAACAGTAACTGTTTAAATACAACAGACCAAACCAACTGGTCAAATACAAACACAAGACAACAGAGTAACAACTGTCCATTTGATAAAAGTGATGCACAGTTTGCAAGGCCTGGGAATAGAAAACCACTGTTTGCAAGCAATGATGGTAAGATTCCCTCAAATTTATAAGAACTACCTTGTTAATTGATACATAAGTTGAGACATACTGTGTCACTTGACCCAACATATCTACAAGGTGCAGACATCAAAAGACTTTAATCATGAACATTTGGAATATATGTTTTTTCTAACATACCTGTTAATAGAAATTTGTGATTACCCTGCAACCAAGTCAGTGGGGTGGTGTATCAGCCTACCCATCACCTGCTGTCCGTCTTTCCTTACATGGATAAAAAAAAATCTGGCAAAGATACTCTCAAACACCTAAGTCAATATCAACAGATCTTTGTAGGTATAATTTTGCACATCATTTAGTTGTGCACCTGACATTAATTTTTCAGTTTACACTTTTCCTTATTGTTTTTGTCCTACATGTCCTTGGTCATTTCAAGCCCTGTCCACACAATTATTGTAAACTTCATTTCAAGCCTTTTTCATACAATTATTGTAAACTTTATTACAAGCCCTGTCCACACAATTATTGTAAACTTTCATTTCAAGCCCTGTCCACACAATTATTGTAAACTTTCATTTCAAGCCCTGTCCACACAATTATTGTAAACTTTCATTTCAAGCCCTGTCCACACAATTATTGTAAACTTTCATTTCAAGCCCTGTCCACACAATTATTGTAAACTTTCATTTCAAGCCCTGTCCACACAATTATTGTAAACTTTCATTTCAAGCCCTGTCCACACAATTATTGTAAACTTTCATTTCAAGCCCTTTTCATACAATTATTGTAAACTTTATTTCAAGCCCTGTCCATACAATTGTTGTAAACTTTCATTTCAAGCCCTGTCCACACAATTATTGTAAACTTTCATTTCAAGCCCTGTCCACACAATTATTGTAAACTTTAATTTCAAGCCCTGTCCACACAATTATTGTAAACTTTCATTTCAAGCCCTGTCCACACAATTATTGTAAACTTTCATTTCAAGCCCTTTTCATACAATTATTGTAAACTTTATTTCAAGCCCTGTCCATACAATTGTTGTAAACTTTCATTTCAAGCCCTGTCCACACAATTATTGTAAACTTTCATTTCAAGCCCTGTCCACACAATTATTGTAAACTTTAATTTCAAGCCCTGTCCACACAATTATTGTAAACTTTCTTATCAAGCCCTGTCCACACAATTATTGTAAACTTTCTTACAAGCCCTGTCCACACAATTATTGTAAACTTTCGGACCAATCCTATGACAGTTTCAGGGAGTAATACATTAAAATTAATTGAATGTTGAATGGCCAGCTTCTATTCTTTAGGATTCAGAGTGTAGAAACAGTTATGGTAATTCCCTAAGTTCTAGTGGGCTATAACTAGCCTAACCTAAATTTGTGTATCATTTTTTGATTGATCTATTTGCAGTATATACCTAATGTCAAACTTTAAGATTTAGTAATAGATTGGCTGAGACATTATTGGTTAAAGTTTGATTTCTATGGAGTTGGCTTTGTTGATAGTTTGTTCAACTGATGCATATATTGTAGAGGATACATTTTATGTTGAATGACTGAGCTAAACATTTCTATATTCTATTAGTCACTATGGCTCCTGACTGACTGAGACAGTTATGGTTATGACTTTAATTCTATAGGACTGACTCCCTTGATCCTTGTGGGAATGATATATATTTGAGGGGTAATTTTTCAAACAACTCACATTTAAGTCCTGGACTGCATTGGCCTCTGATTGGATGATACACTTATGCCTGTGAGTTAGGTTTATTAGACATTTAAATATTGTCATTTGTGATGCTCATTTGCAGCTGCTGGTTACAGTCCCTGTTACAGTTAGAACTGTTTTTGGCGAATTGCTGATAGTGAATTCAACAGACTTTTTGAAATTCAGCACCTGTTGCGATCACTTAATCCACCCTGAATATATTTGTCATTTTCACCATTTTCATGGCAGAGCGGGAGGTGTTATTTTGTAGCCTTTCGCTTACAACTTTAGTTATAGAATAGTGGGAGCTTTTGCACAGAAATTAGTTAACCTTTATATTCATAATACATGTGTAAGAGCCATAGTGCATGTATGTGATGAAAAATCATCTAAACTCTGACTTGATATAAAGTACTGCTTCATGGTAGAACCCATCCATTAATCCTAGCAATGGGGTTGCACAAAGATATTTGGTCCAAATGAGCCTGATACCTGTTAGGGTTTGGTTGGTCACTTTGAGAAATTGAACGTTAAACTACAATAATGTATCAAATTACTGACAGTAGTGTCAAATTTACTGTAAGTCAGGGAAACATTATAAAATGCCAACTCATTGATGTGACAAATGCATTTAGGTTGGGTAAAAAGAATTTCCCTGTAGTGTAACCTACTGCATGATTGTAAGAGGTGACTAATATGGGGTTCCCTGTAGGGATTTTCTTTTGAAAACTTCTGAAGGTGACAGCTATGCAAGATCCCAAGCAATTAAAATAAATATTACCCGCTAATAAAAGCAACATATATTTGCAATACATATTACAGCACATATTACAATGGTAATATGTATCATATTTCATTACAGGTGGTGGTGCATATAGTCAGTTTGGAGGAGCACCAGGACATTCTGGTGGTCAGTTTGGAGGAGCACCAGGATATTCTGGTGGTCAGTTTGGAGGAAAAGCAGGACATTCTGGTGGTCAGTTTGGAGGAGCACCAGGACATTCTGGTGGTCAGTTTGGAGGAAAAGCAGAACATTCTGGTGGTCAGTTTGGAGGAAAACCAGGACAATTTTACAGTCATCAGAAATCATGGAAAGGGGGACAGGTGATGATTTTAATTTCTAGTGACGTTTTGTTTTTCAAATACACTATTGCAAGCAGTTTGGGGTTTTACTCAATAAAGTAGATATCTGTATATATTGTTATATGTATAAGAATGTTTCCCAAGAAGTTTAAGAGATAATGAAGCTGTTGTCACTCCTAGGACTAACAACTAGTGGATAATAGTTTATCGAACTGTCACCCTCTGTATGACTCACACCCTCCTTTCCTATAATTTGGCAGAAACTTTTTACATGTATATATCTAAATGAATTGGATTGGCTGTTGCATGTCACTTGTCAGGCAATCAGAGTTTGTGTTTTATACTTGGTTTGTAACTGATGGAGATGACTCCAGGCCTTACAACAACATGGTAAAGGAATAGAGTATGATTATTCGGGTAATCTTTTGGATCAAATATTTAAGTAGCCGCAGACATCATTTACAGAAAACACAGAAAAAGTATACAGAGTTAACCAGAATACTTTCAATTAAAAGATTTTGGCAAGAAATTTTCATTGTTTTTATGTTTCACCGGCCACATAATCTCAATAAGTATGCTTAAATTCCCGACACCATGTAAGTGATAAATGAATAATTCTTTACTTGTTTTAGGGTGGAGGCATAAAGAGGCCGTTGAATGAAAATGAAGAAGACAATTCAGACTATCACCAAGAGGCTCCTGCTGCAACTGGGGGAGCCTTCAGAACAGCTCGGGAGCAGCTAGTTAGTACCATACAAACCACAAGGTCACACAGTAAAAGTCATATTGTAAGGCATCACTGACCTGGTTAAGGTGAAGGTCACACATACATACTAACCTGGTCAAGGTGAATGTCACACAGACATACTAACCTAGTCAAGGTGAACGTCACACAGACATACTAACCTGGTCAAGGTGAAGGTCACACATACATACTAACCTGGGCAAGGTGAAGGTTGCACAGGCATCTTACTTACTAACCTGGGCAAGGTGAAGGTCGCACAGGCATCATACATACTAACCTGGGCAAGGTGAAGGTCGCACAGGCATCATACTTACTAACCTGGTCAAGGTGAAGGTCGCACAGGCATCATACTTACTAACCTTGTCAAGGTGAAGGTCACTCAGGCATCATATTAACAATGTCCAGGTGTAGGTCACACAGTGATATATAACTATAACCTGATTAAAGTGAAGGTCACACAGTTAAGTATCACTATATGTCTGGGTCTTTGGCTAAGCTATTCTAGCTATTACAGAAAAAAGAAGGGTTTATATATATTTTCATTGACAGTTGAATGACTGAACATAAAAAATAAATTTATACTAGTTGATAACACATTTTTTTTCAGAAGTGCTACTGGTTTTGTATTACTGTCATTCTTGATTATCTGTAGAAACTAGAGAACCAGAAGAAATATGGTGGAGGAGGTGGTGGTGGCACAGTTTCAACAGCATCCTATGGTAGTACTAAGAAGTCCCTCGGCACACGGTAAGATTCTTAACAAGGGACAGCTGTATGGTAGTACAAATATAAGTCCCTCTGCACACAGTAAGATTCTTATCAAGGCACAATTATGGTAGTACTAAGAAGTCCCTCGGCACACAATAAGATTCTTAACAAGGGACAACTATGGTAGTACTAAGAATTCCTTCGGCGCACAGTAAGATTCTTAACGAGGGACAACTTTGGTAGTACAAATAAGTCCCTCTGCACTCGGTAAGATTCTTAACAAGGCATAACTATGGTAGATCTAAGAAGTCTCTCTGCACACAGTAAGATTCTTAACAAGGGACAACTATGGTAGTATAAATAAGTCCCTCTTCACACGGTAAGATTCTTAACAAGGCATAACTATGGTAGATCTAAGAAGTCTCTCTGCACACAGTAAGATTCTTAACAAGGGACAACTTTGGTAGTACAAATAAGTCCCTCTGCACATGGTAAGATTCTTAACAAGGGACAACTATGGTAGTATAAATAAGTCCCTCTGCACACGGTAAGATTCTTAACAAGGCATAACTATGGTAGTTCTAAGAAGTCTCTCTGCACACAGTAAGATTCTTAACAAGGGACAACTGCAGAAGTACGAGGAAGGTCCTCTGCACACGATAAGATTCTTAACAAGCAACGATGACAGAAGCGCTAGGAAGTCACTTGACACATGATAAGATTCTTAACAAGGGACAACGAGGGTTGTACTAGAAGTCAGTACACAGTAAGATTCTTAACGCCCAACACTATGACAATGCTAAAAGTCAATTGGCACAAGTAAAATAAAGCAATCTCTAGCCCTCTAGATGATTATTTGATTGTCTTACCTTGGAAAAGCCATGGGTTAGACAACCGAAACATCAATCCTTGGGTTGGAGGTTTTGTGTGTATGTTAGATACTTGATGCTTATGAATGCAGGTACCAGTTACCTCCCCTTAAGCATAAAGTAAGGGGTAAACAAAAATCAAGTACCGGAGAGTTTGTCAGAACACATGCCTTCAAGCATTCTCCAAATAAGCAGTATATCAAAAATTGATTAACTGAAATATTACCAGGAACAAAATAGCATTGTGTTCAGTGTGTTACAGCCTTTTGACATTTACATGAGAGCTGGTTCCAGTGTTCAGTGTATAACAGCCTTTTGACATTTACAGGAGAGCTGGTCCCTGTGTTAAGTGTATTACAGCCTTTTGGCATTTACAGGAGAGCTGGTCCCAGTGTTAATTGTATTACAGCCTTTTGACATTTACAGGAGAGCTGGTTCCTTTGTTAAGTGTATTACAGCCTTTTGACATTTACAGGAGAGCTGGTCCCAGTGTTCAGTGTATTATAGCCTTTTGACATTTACAGGAGAGCTGGTCTCAGTGTTCAGTGTATTACAACCTTTTTGACATTTACAGGAGAGCTGGTCCCAGTGTTCAGTGTATTATAGCCTTTTGACATTTACAGGAGAGCTGGTCCTAGTGTTCAGTGTATAACAGCCTTTTGACATTTACAGGAGAGCTGGTCCTAGTGTTCAGTGTATAACAGCCTTTTGACATTTACAGGAGAGCTGGTCCCAGTGTTCAGTGTATTACAGCCTTTTGACACTTACAGGAGAGCTGGTCCCAGTGTTAAGTGTATTACAGCCTTTTGACATTTACAGGAGAGCTGGTTCCTTTGTTAAGTGTATTACAGGCTTTTGACATTTACAGGAGAACTGGTCCCAGTGTTCGGTGTATTACAGCCTTTTGACATTTACAGGAGAGCTGGTCCCAGTGTTCAGTGTAAAACAGCCTTTTGACATTTACAGGAGAGCTGGTCCCAGTGGCAAGTTTGTTCCTCCAGTCATTAACAGGGAGGAAGACAATGGGTGAGTGTTATCAAGTAATCCAGAGTTTACTGATCTGAGGTTTTTAATGTATACAGCAGTTCTGAAGTTGATATAATATTCCATCTCAACTGACATTTTCCATATGAGAGGATTTAGTTTGATCGTTTGATGACATTTATTCTTTGTTTCAGCAATATATTTTGTAATATTTTATCTAAAACAATGGAAAAAAGTTGTTTTTAGATGTGAATATGTAACAAGTTCAAATAATTGATTTTTCAAAACACTTGTTTATTATTTGAAGGCCTGACGTAAACATGAACAAGGTTCAGAAGTCAGTATTTGGAAAAGGAACCTCTCCATCATCTGCCTCTTCTGATGAACCAGAGGATGAACGACTCAAGGGGATTGAACCAAAGATGATTGAGCTGGTGATGAATGAGGTACATGTCAATGCTTTGTCTTCATCTGTCTGTCTTGGTCCGTATTCTCACCACATGCAAATAATTGCACCAACAACGACCCTTGGTCTAATAAATACATTTACAACTACCCTCAATCAAATAAATACACTTACAACAATCTCCAGTCAAATAAATAACTTACATTGACCCTCACTCAAATAAATACACTTAAAGTTTGGCCAAGATATTTTACTTGTTGTAAAAATAAGTGAAAACCTGTCATACATTTAAATTTGTATTGAATCATCCTTCAACGAACTTTTAGAAGTGTCCCGTTACCTAGATCTAGGCAACCAAAGGGGACTGCTCCTTTCTGGTGAGAATTGTAATGAGCTAACAGGTCACGTGGTACTTGTGATGTCACAGTGGCAGATTCTAGGGTTCAGGAGCTACACCTCCTATACATTTCTGATTTGTTTTGATGGACAGACATCTGACAGTGTGACTTTGGCATGAACTGCATAATTTAATCAATTCTCTACAAATTTACTGCGAAGAAAGGACGGAGACAAATCACTATTTACATAAAAATTGACATCTGAGGACGATTCTGATATGGCAGGGATGTTTATAAGATACTCATAGAACAGTGGCTTCACGGAATGAAACCTCCATATATATATACTTGATTTAAAAATTAACACAAGTAGATAGATATGACATAAGAGCCAGTTTAATAATGTTGCGACTTTTTAGAGTCATATATTTGCAATGTAATCTAGCACATAGACATGGAACACATTCAATTTGGTTTTGTCATAATCACGAACTTAGATCACATGTAAAGTATGTATACACGCATGTGTACGTGAACAACCAATTTATGTCTGGTGTCAAACTGCCACTGTAACGGAAAAATGTAAATAACACGACAGTTTAAAATATTGGTTTCATTGAAATACTGCTTGAGATGTCGGCTGAAATCGGGATACCAAAATAAAAATGGCCCTTCCCCACTCTATGATTTATTTTCATTTCACTTAAAATCACTAACATGCAAGTCTATTTGTGTGAAAATAGCAAATATGTACTATTTTTGTCCTCTAACGTGTATTGAAATATGTGAAAAGTGTACCATTTTACAACATCTTAACAAATACTTTAACAGCTTCCCCACTCGTCACTCACTCAGTGTAACAGACTGGTGTACGTACAAAATGTACCTTCCCTAAATACTAACATACTCTTACACCTACCCTCAGTCAAATACATACTCTTACACCTACCCTCAGTCAAATACATACTCTTACATCTACCCTCAGTCAAATACACACTCTTTTACCTACCCTCAGTCAAATACATACTCTTACACCTTCCCTAAATACTAACATACTCTTACACCTACCCTCAGTCAAATATACACTCTTACACCTACCCTCAGTCAAATACATATTCTTACACCTACCCTCAGTCAAATACATACTCTTACACCTACCCTCAGTCAAATACACACTCTTACACCTACCCTCAGTCAAAAACATACTCTTACACCTACCCTCAGTCAAATACATACTCTTACACCTACCCTCAGTCAAATACATACTCTTACACCTACCCTCAGTCAAATACATACTCTTACACCTACCCTCAGTCAAATACATACTCTTACACCTACCCTCAGTCAAATACATACTCTTACACCTACCCTCAGTCAAATACATACTCTTACACCTACCCTCAGTCAAATACATACTCTTACACCTACCCTCAGTCAAATACATACTCTTACACCTACCCTCAGTCAAATACATACTCTTACACCTACCCTCAGTCAAATACATACTCTTACACCTACCCTCAGTCAAATACATACTCTTACACCTACCCTCAGTCAAATACATACTCTTACACCTACCCTCAGTCAAATACATACTCTTACACCTACCCTCAGTCAAATACATACTCTTACACCTACCCTCAGTCAAATATACACTCTTACACCTACCCTCAGTCAAAAACATACTCTTACACCTACCCTCAGTCAAATACATACTCTTACACCTACCCTCAGTCAAATACATACTCTTACACCTACCCTCAGTCAAATATACACTCTTACACCTACCCTCAGTCAAAAACATACTCTTACACCTACCCTCAGTCAAATACATACTCTTACACCTACCCTCAGTCAAATACATACTCTTACACCTACCCTCAGTCAAATACATACTCTTACACCTACCCTCAGTCAAATATACACTCTTACACCTACCCTCAGTCAAAAACATACTCTTACACCTACCCTCAGTCAAATACATACTCTTACACCTACCCTCAGTCAAATACATACTCTTACACCTACCCTCAGTCAAATACATACTCTTACACCTACCCTCAGTCAAATATACACTCTTACACCTACCCTCAGTCAAAAACATACTCTTACACCTACCCTCAGTCAAATACATACTCTTACACCTACCCTCAGTCAAATACATACTCTTACACCTACCCTCAGTCAAATACATACTCTTACACCTACCCTCAGTCAAATATACACTCTTACACCTACCCTCAGTCAAAAACATACTCTTACACCTACCCTCAGTCAAATACATACTCTTACACCTACCCTCAGTCAAATACATACTCTTACACCTACCCTCAGTCAAATACATACTCTTACACCTACCCTCAGTCAAATATACACTCTTACACCTACCCTCAGTCAAAAACATACTCTTACACCTACCCTCAGTCAAATACATACTCTTACACCTACCCTCAGTCAAATACATACTCTTACACCTACCCTCAGTCAAATACATACTCTTACACCTACCCTCAGTCAAATACATACTCTTACACCTACCCTCAGTCAAATACATACTCTTACACCTACCCTCAGTCAAATATACACTCTTACACCTACCCTCAGTCAAATACATATTCTTACACCTACCCTCAGTCAAATACATACTCTTACACCTACCCTCAGTCAAATATTCACTCTTACACCTACCCTCAGTCAAATATTCACTCTTACACCTACCCTCAGTCAAATACATACTCTTACACCTACCCTCAGTCAAATATACTTTACTTTAAACTGAATACATTTCCACGATTATTCAAATACAGAGGTGAGTTGTACATACCCTCTGGGACTCTTTTTTCTGCTTGTTTTTGTGATAAATTTTTATCCCTCGTTTTTCAATGAAAATGGTAATTGATATTTATTTGGGCCTATCCGTCCGTCCATCCGTCTTACTGTCTCTGTCACATTAGTTTCTTTGCATCAACTGCCCTAACAATGGATCCATTTCAATGAAAAATAGTATGTACATACATATTAACCTGCTTGAGCCTGAATTTGATCATGAATGATCAGTGTATATTTAGTATATATTTTATGCATACTGAATGAGGTTACAAACATGTGATTGGCTATTAAAGGTAATATCCTACATTGATATTGAAAATCTATTTTGCAGATTATGGACAATGGCCCACAGATGACTTGGAGTGACATTGCTGGCCTAGAATTTGCCAAGAAATGTATTAAGGAGATTGTAGTATGGCCAATGTTACGACCGTAAGTAGTGTTCAGCATACAAACTGGAGTAAATGTTACTGCTTTGTCTGTAATGGTTCACAACCTAGAAATACATGGCTGATGTAATAGATACAGACCCAGGTATAGTTTCCAACACTGTGTCTAGTTATAACACATAGGTATAATGTTTTATCAAGTTCTGTTGATTTCAGTAAATATGACCTGCACCTTGTCCTTCAGGGTACAGATTTGTATTTGCTATTTAGTATGGTCTTATTAGTAAAATATTTAACTCACCCCAACAGAAGGACATTCAGTATCCGTCTGGCACAACTTTTAATTAAATTAATTCATCTAAATAACCTAGAGTGATTATATTTGGCTAGTAGCATGCTGGGTTGAAGGACCGTTAAGTATGTTCAATTGTATGAACTTGATCAGCTTTTGAGGTCTCTGGTCAAATTCTTCTGAAAAACCAATATAGCAATGATATGTGGCTATATACGTTAGCATGGTTAGATAAAGTGCTATCAGTAATGTTTAAGTGAATGACCTTGGCTGAAATTCAAGTTAACAAAAACAAAAACAAATCTGCCAAAAAATACAAGAAGCCTAGGATAATGATATTTTTGACAATTTGAATTTTCATCATTTGTCCCCATGATTTAGTCGTGTACGTGGAATAATAAAGAGGCTCTGTACCATCAATTATCTCTAAGTAACAAGAACAGCACAATACAAAAAAAGGCCACTAAAGACACCCCCCTCCCCCAAAGGCCACTAATTATAAAGACACCCCCCTCCCCCAAAGGCCACTAAAGACACCCCCCTCCCCCAAAGGCCACTGAAGACACCCCCCTCCACCAAAGGAAAATGAAAATAAAGACTACTAAGTACATATCGAGGTAAGGAAATTGAACCACTCTCACTCTCTGCTTATATGTATAATACCAGATTTTATACAATCCATTAGAACCCAGTGAAATAAGGTTCCACTGCAATTCAAATACAAAACATTACTTATTTGTTGTAATCATAAATAACAAATATATAGATAGGGTAAAGTAACAATGACCTTGACATTGTGACTCTGTGTTTTGTTTCAGTGACATATTCAAAGGCCTGAGGGGACCACCTAAAGGTTTGCTCCTGTTTGGTCCTCCAGGGACTGGTAAAACACTGATAGGTAAGGATATGCTGTCATAGGGACTGTGTAAACACTGATATGTAAGGATATGATGTCATAGGGACTGGTAAAACACTGATAGGTAAGTATATAGTGTCATAGGGACAGGTAAAACACTGATAGGTAAGGATATAGTGTCATAGGGACTGGTAAAACACTGATAGGTAAGGATATGATGTCATAGAGACTGGTAAAACACTGATAGGTAAGGATATGATGTCATATGGACAGGTAAAACACTGATAGGTAAGGATATGATGTCATAGGGACAGGTAAAACACTGATAGGTAAGAAAAATTCAAAGGAGCTGGTAAAACTCAAGTACGAACCCATAAGTAAAACTGTCACAGGTAAGATGATATAGGGACTGGTAAAACACTCAACAGTTAGGATATTGGATATATCAACATCTCAAAGGTCTTTGTTATCGTCTATAGACAGCTAAACAACTTGCTTTATATTGAGTTTCCTTTTGGTTTAAGTTGAGCTTGCACTATTTTATAAACCTTAGTGGATAAAACGTCCGGTGATGTGCTGATCACCCAAAACAAACAACTCTGGAGCTATGTGTTGTTGTATTGATTGTTTGAGACATTGACTTCAGGGGTCATGCTTTGGTCTAACAAGTGATTGTTAATGAATGATTAATATATATAACCAACATTCCTCTCTGTAAACAACTAGCTATTCTCTTACTTATAGGAAAATGTATTGCCAGTCAATCAAAGTCTACATTCTTCAGCATCAGTGCATCATCCCTGACTTCAAAATGGGTGAGTTTTTACAGAGAATTTCACTGATATAAACTCATACTCATCAAATGAAAGCTTTGATACATTTCTAGGAAAATCCTTCTATCTGAACTAATTTTAAGACAATGTCTTTGTGTTGTAGGTAGGGGAGGGAGAGAAGATGGTACGAGCCCTCTTCGCTGTGGCCCGCTGTCATCAGCCTGCTGTGGTGTTCATTGATGAAATTGACTCCCTTTTGTCCCAGAGATCAGATGGAGAACATGAGGCATCTAGGAGAATCAAAACAGAATTCCTTGTACAATTGGTCAGTTGATGATCATAATTCTTGTATACATATCAAGTCAATGGCTTTATTAAATGTCCCTCATTCCCCTAAAAACAATATTCATCAAATTAGATTTGACAATGGACCAGGTTTGTGTGTTTTAGGATGGTGCTGCGACTTCCTCAGATGACAGAATTCTTGTGATAGGAGCCACCAATAGGTAGGTAGCGTTAAGTATTGAACTGCTTTTAGTTAGCATCCATAGGCAAAATGAATGCCAGCTGAACAAAGGTAAATTCAGTGAAGTGATTAATACTTATAGTTATCATGTTTGTAGTCCGTTTATCTCAGTAAATTAAAAATCAATTACACGTTATTATTCAGTATTTAGTTCAAATAACATTTTTATCTCATATGCTTGTTCATTGAATAGAATCTGTTCAGTGAAGGTCAGTTGTGTTACCCAATCTGACCTATTATTAAGATGATCATGGCATTCATAGCCTATATGAATGCGATCTGAATGTGGCAGGGTGATATTGTGGAATTGCCATATTTGACGATAAATATTTGAATAACTAAATATATAGCATGGCATGTAGAGATCATAGATGTTAACCATCTTATTGAAAAAGTGAGAATTTTGTTTTATTTAGTACCCAATTATTGAAGAACAATAAAAATAGAAACCCCAGTGAAGGTAGGATTGGATTCCTAATTCAGTACTTTTACACTTTTTTTTTAATAATTGCTTATGTAGTCCATAGCCTCTGTATCACCTAAACTTTTGTATAAAAGCTTCTGGAAGCAATGAAAAAAATATTCTACCAAAACACCAAAGATCCTCTATCTTGTAGACCACAGGAGATTGATGAGGCGGCAAGGAGGAGGTTTGTGAAAAGACTATATATCCCCCTCCCTGAAGCCCAGGCCAGGCAGCACATTGTCCTCAATCTACTAGCTCAGCAGCGGTACCATCTCACAGAGAATGAACTCAAGGTTATCCAAGATAAATCTCAAGGTCAGGCATCCAAATTCTCTGATTCTCATATCATTTTCACATGTGCTTGTTTATTGAATGTTGAGATTTCAGTTAAGCACTGATAGTAAATTGCTACTAGCTTCTGTTCATGTCCTTATGTAATGAATCCATCGATCAGCAATGTACTCAAATTAGTCACAGCTATATCTTCTACTGTGTACTGCAGCAATCGTTTCTCTATTTCTGAAGAGAGAAAAAAAATCAAACAATGACAACAACTGTCCTACATTTTGAATCTATGTATTTTTCCTGTCTCACTTCCCTCCTTTCCCCTCTGGCAGTAACTCCCTAGGCTTCATATGACCCCAGCTGTTGTGAGGAGGTTAAACCCCATACACTCACTTACCTGTCTACCTTGAAGCTAGACACACATTTCCGTCAAAGTCTACTTTAAAGATTGACCTGGAATATATAGCTGTCGTAGTTTACTTTTGATTTTGAGCTAAGTTGCCTTATCCTTTGCAGGCTACTCCGGTGCTGATATGGCGAGTCTGTGTAGAGAGGCAGCTATGGGACCCATCAGAAGCATGTCCTTTGGTGACATAGAGAGTATATCTGCTGACGAGGTAGGCCTTATATAAATTATATTTCTGGCTGTTATATTTTCAGCTTCCTAGAACATTTGCTGATTTAGACATCTCATGATCAAGTCTTGTTATTTTGTGGTAGATTTAGAATCTAAATACAAATTTACAATAAAATTCCTGTTGATGTTCAAAGTTTGACTAAATTATAAGCATAGCAATTATTTTGATTTGCCCTGAATAAGTAAAACAAATTTTAACATGAAAAATAGATATTAAACACATTTATAAATGTAATGATGTAGAATATAATGTCACAAGATCCTTGGATCTGTTGTATAGACCTATTGTATATCATACAGAATGAATTTAGCAATTGCAAACAAAATATCAAATCTGATACAATGACACTATACCAAAGTTCATTCCAGTAACCTATTGAATACTTACCTTACAGGTGCGCCCAATCATTTTTTGTGACTTTGAAGAAGCTTTCCTGCAAGTAAAAGCCAGTGTATCAGACAAAGATTTGGATTTATATATAAAATGGAATACAATGTATGGAAGTGTGGGTGTAGGAAGGTAACCAAGGGAAGGTAACCAAAGAGTTAAACCAAGGAGTGGTAACCAATGAGTAGAGCCGAGGGGAGGTAACCAAAGTGTTAAACCAAGGGGAGGACACCAATGAATAGAGCCAGGGGTAGGTAACCACCAAAGTGTTAAACCAATGAGTGGTAACCAATGAGTAAAGCCAAGGGGAGGTAACCAAAGTGTTAAACCAAGGAGTGATAACCAATGAGTAGCGCCAAGGGGAGGTAACTAAAGTGTTAAACCAAGGAGTGGTAACCAATGAGTAGAGCCGAGGGAAGGTAACCAAATAGTTAAACCAATGAGTGGTAACCAAGGAGTAGAGCCAAGGGGAGGTAACCAAAGTGTTCAACCAAGGAGTGGTAACCAATGAGTAGAGCCAGGGGTAGGTAACCAAATAGTTAAACCAATGAGTGGTAACCAAGGAGTAGAGCCACGGGGAGGTAACCAAAGTGTTAAACCAAGGAGTGGTAACCAATGAGTAGAGCCAAGGGAAGGTAACCAAATAGTTTAACCAAGGAGAGGTAACCAATGAGTAGAGCCAAGGGAAGGTAACCAAAGTGTTAAACCAAGGAGAGGTAACCAATGAGTAGGGCCAAGGGGAGGTAACCAAAGTGTTAAACCAACAAGAGGTAACAAATGAGTAGAGCCGAGGGGAGGTAACCAAATAGTTTAACCAAGGAGTGGTAACCAATGAGTATAGCTTAGGGGAGATAACCAAAGTGTTAAACCAAGGAGTGGTAACCAATGAGTAGAGCCGAGGGGAGGTAACCAAATAGTTTAACCAAGGAGTGGTAACCAATGAGTAGAGCCGAGGGGAGATAACCAAAGGATTTAACCAGTGAGTGGTAACTAATGAGTAGAGCCAAGGGAAGGTAACCAAATAGTTAAACCAAGGAGAGGTGATCAATGAGTAGAGCAGAGGGAAGGTAACCAAATAGTTTAACCAAGGAGTGGTAACCAATGAGTATAGCTTAGGGGAGATAACCAAAGTGTTAAACCAAGGAGTGGTAACTAATGAGTAGAGCCGAGGGGAGATAACCAAAGTGTTAAACCTAAGAGTGGTAACCAATGAGTAGAGCCAGGGGTAGGTAACCAAATAGTTAAACCAAGGAGAGGTAGCCAATGAGTAGAGCCAAGGGAAGGTAGCCAAATAGTTAAACCAAGGAGAGGTAGCCAATGAGTAGAGCCAAGGGGAGATAACCAAAGTGTTAAACCAAGGAGTGGTAACCAATGAGTAGAGCCGAGGGAAGGTAACCAAATAGTTTAACCAAGGAGAGGTAACCAAATAGTTAAACCAAGTAGAGGTAGACAAAGAGTTTGGATTGGTAACCATTGGTTCAAAGTCAAGGAGAGGTTGTAACGAAGGAGAAGTTACAATGGAGAAGTAACGAAGTAAGAGGGGTCACATAGGTGAAATAACAAATGAAAAAAAAATTAAAGGATTGTAATAAAAGTTAGGAAGCCGTGCTGAGGGGTGATGTATAAGAGTGTTTACCAGTGGGAGATACTTGAGGTTACAAAGGAATTAATGTACAAATGAGTTGATGGAGAGTAAGACATTATATAGAAACAAAGGTATGGGGAGAAAGTATCAAGGGGTGTAACTAAGGGGAGGTAAGTGTGACTACGAGGATATTTTTGTTCGTCAGTTTGTTATTGTTTAGGAGAAATGGAATGAAAGCAAGTAATTGCATGTTTTTAAAGTAAATTCAATTATTTATTTGTATGCAATATAATAACTCTCAAACCAGAGAGCCAAATACTGTTAATAAACAATTGGGGCATTTCTGGAATTTTGTTGACTGAAAATGTTTTTTTGCAATATTTTTGCTACATATTTCATTATAATATAAAAAAAATAAAAATATGCAAACATTTTGATGACGTTCAGCTGTTCCAGGAATCTCGTTTGCACTGATGACATATAAGGATTTAACAGCATTTTTTCAAAGTTATGAACCAGCATGAAATTGAAAAATAATGTGGTTCAATCCTTATATGACTTTTAGGATCCAACTATTTAAATAATTGTCATAGTATACTTCATTCGCATTTCACCAACAAGGTGTACACAACTGACATCATTTTAGCCCACAATCATCAAATGGCGGGGTATTCAAATCGCCCTGCTTTCGTTGTCAGTCCGTCCTTAAACAATTCTTGTTTGAGCTATTTCTTAGAAAGTGCTGAAGAGATCTTTCTCAAATTTCACATGAAGGTTCCCCCATGATCCCTTGTTATGCATATCAGTTTTTTTTAGGACTGATTGCAAAACCAAGATGGCCGACAGCCAGCCATCTTGAATTTGAGAGTTAAAGATTGTTAGCGCTATTTCTCAGAAAGTACAGGAGTGATCTTTCTCAAATTTCACACAAAGGTTCCCCATGATCCCTAGTTATGCATATCTTTTTTAGGGACTGATCGAAAAACCAAAATGGTCGACAGCAAGCTATCTTGAATTTGAGAGTTAAATGTTTGTTAGCGCTATTTTTAGAAAGTACTGGAGGGATCTTTCTCAAATTTCACATAAAGATTTCCCATGAACCCTAGTTATGCATATCTTTTTTGGGACTGATCACAAAACCAAAATGGCATCTTGAATTTGATAGTTAGATGGGTTTGTTAGCTCTAATTTTCAGAAAGTACTGCAGGTGTATTTCAAATTTTACATGAAAGTTCCCAATGGTCCATAGTTACGCATATCAAATTTTGGAACAAAAGGGAAAACCAAGATGGCTGACAGACGGCCATCTTGAATTTGAGAATGAAAATTTGCTAGAGCTATTTTAAAAAAAATCAGGAGGGGTCTCTCTCAAATTTCACATGAAGGTTTCCCGTGGTTCTAGTTTCGCATTTCGATATTTTGGGAATGATTGGAAAACCAAGATGGCTGGCAGGTGGTCATATTGAATTTGGGAGTAAAACTATTTTTAGCCATATTGCTCAAAAAAGTATTGGATGGATCTTTCTACAATTTCACATAAGGGTTCCTCTTGATTCCAAGTTATGCATATCAATTTTTTTTGACTGTTCTGAAAGACAAGATACGAACAGGCGGCCATCTTGCTACAGTTTAAGTTTGTTATCGCTATTTCTCAGAATTTACTGGAGGAATCTTTCTCAGATTTGATACGTAGGTTCCCTTGGTCCTGATTTGTGCATGTTAACTTTTGAGGTTGATCAAAAGACTGATTAAGATGCAAACAGGCAAACTGATCAAACAGATAAGAGAATAGAAGAGTAAAGATCGAACTGACATAGAACTAATGAAGATGGTACAATGGTGGACGCCACGATCCCTCTGGGATCTCTTGTTTCTGGATGATGCAGTCAATGTTCTTTTTTCTGGTATGCATATTTTCATACACAAGAGGGCAAAAAGAGGGTAATTTGGCCATATTGCTTTAAGCAACTAAGATATGAATATCAACCATATTAAGGGCTGCTGCCCCCACACCCCTCCACAGAGGTCTGGCCCCACACCCCTCCACAGAGGTCTGGCCCCACCCATGGAGACTAATCACTTGGTCATTACTTTTAAATAGTTGTGATCCCACCACATACTCGTACATACAATTGCTATGCACAAAGCGACAGATAATGAAATGATATTATAATTGACTCTGGGGTCTGGCCACGCCCCTAGGGACTTGTTCCTTGTCATAACTTTGAAACTGTTGATATCCACTCTTTAGCCATGTATACAATTGCTGTGTATAAGGTCTAAGATGACCTGTTTGACCCTGGAGTGAGTAAGCTAGAAGATATGACCACTAGGGATTAGCGGCAGTCACAGCGCAATGATCCAGTATTGCGGCCATGGATGGATATCATCACCAACCATAGACAACCGAGACGTAGACAACTACCTATGACCAGGGAACACACACAGCTGTTCAAGGTGTCTGGGAGTTTGACGATGCGGCGTGGAGTACTGTTTAGGAAGATTATTACAGATAGTAATTCCAAGTTCCAAATTGTATTACCGTCATTTTTCATTGAAAAAGCTCTCAGAGGACTACACAATGATGTTGGACGCCCCGGACGTGACCGATTTCTTTCGCTCCTGCAGGATAGGTTTTATTGGCCATGCATGACAAGAGATGCTGAGGAGTGGTTGAAGAAGTGTCGGCGTTGCATCAGGGCAAAATCATCAGCTAATGTGTCCATTAGTGAGCATAGAGACATCCCATCCATTGGAGCTCGTCTGCATTGACTATCTCACTCGAGAGACATCCAGAGGTGGATACCAGAATGTCCTAGTGATCACAGATCATTTCACGAGACACGCCCAAGCCATTCCAACAAGCAACCAGACAGCCAAAACAACAGCCGAAGCTCTATTCAACAACTTCTTTGTTCATTACGGCATGTCAAAAAGACTTCATGCCGATCAGGGTGCCAACTTTGAAAGCAAACTTAAATCCGAGCTCTGTCAGCTAACAGGGATGACTAAGTTGAGGACTACTCCTTACCACCGGATTGGAAGAGCTACGTGGCACCACTAGTTCACGCTTATAACTGTACCAGACAGGAGTCGACCAACACATCACCATTTTACCTCATGTTTGGTAGGGAGCCACGTTTGCCTCTGGACATCTCCTTTGGTATAGGGAAACTGATTTATGAGTCCCAGTCTCTCACTGACTGCGAAGGGACTCGGGAAACGTCTCGCATACAGTTATGATCTAGCTACTAAATCCTCAACAAGTGCAAAGAGAAGGCAGAAGGCATCATATGACCTCAGAGTCCGAGGAGCGTCACTCAACATTGGAGACAGAGTGTTAGTGAAAGCTTAAGCGCTTGACGGCATACATAAATTATCTGATGCTTGGGAGGATGAGGTGTACTTCGTAATGGAACAACCCAATCCGAGTATACCAGTATTCAGTCTAGAGTCTGAGTCAGGACAGGGTCGGAGTAGAACACTTCATCGGAATAACTTGCTTCCCATAGGAGCTTTGCCATCAGAATCTACTGAGGCAATGAAGAAGCTAGAATCCATTGTTCC